TCATAACCACCTGGGAGGTGATTATTCTTGTCCTAATTTTGCAGATGAAATGAAAGGCTCAATGAACACTTGTCAAGGTCAGAGGACTAATGATTGGTCAGAACCTAGCTCTTGATCACAGCCCAGTGACATAAGGTCCTCACCTCTTAGCCTGCATTCAGGACCAGGCTCCTTCACTGCTCCCCTGGTGACCCGGCTCAGCCATGGGCCGACTTGCCTCCCCATCCACACTGTGCAGTCAAAGTTCTGCCTAGAATACCTAGTTTTCTTCTGCTGTACTTTGATATTTCACTTCTCCTTTAGGGTCTGGTATAATCTCCTAGACTCCAGGAAGTCTCTCCTGATTCTGCTGAGCAGATGAAAATTTCCTCCCTGGACCCCTAAGGGTAGGGAGACTACACCCATGGTACCTCTTCCGAGTGCTACTTCTTGGGTGTGAGCACATGGGACACACAGAGACACACACTAAGTGCCTTTGTGGCCCATGATTAACAACACATGGTTGGGGAATGGGTTTCCATTCTTGAAAATGTCAACACCACCACAAGGTAAATAACTTTAGCTGTAACAGGCAGGGTCTTTTCACTTTTTAAAGGAATGTAGTAAAACTATGGGCTTTCTGTCCAGAACCATGCACATAAACACCACATTTTCATATAATTTCAGGGTTCACAGACCCCTGTATTAGGAACTTTTGATGTTCTGTATCTCAATCTGGTAATACAACTGGTTAATCAGCAACTTAGTGAGTCCAGACACCAAATTTTGTAAGAAAGAGGAGAGAAGTTCAGTGAGGGTCTTGGTGAGAAGTCATAAGGTTTGGGGAGCAGGAGGACAGGGTCTTGAGAGTGTGTGTCCTGGGATGGAGACCACACTTACTTGTTCACCCTATCCCCACACAGCACAGTGGGGATAGGAATGTTTAGTAGACATCTGCTGTATGACTGGGGTATTAGGGAAGGCACTCTAGGCAGATGGGATGGTGAGAACACTGTCTCAGAGTCCTGCTGGTAGAGGCACACTGATGGACAATGGGTGGACCCTGATGTCCTAAGATGGAGAGGAAAGCTGGAGCTGAATGGGCAGTCTAGGGTGTCTGAATCTGCTGAGTTTGGCCTTGCACCTGAATATCCACCTGAAAGGGGCAAGGCTTTCAACATGGACATTTTATGCACCGGCCATTCCAATGGGAAGGAAAGTGGGAAGGGTCAGGGAATGACTGTGGTCTCTGTTCATATTGGAAGCAGCAGCCTGTGCAGACTGGGGGCCAGAAGCAGGGGGCAGGAATCATGTAGGAGAACAGCAGGGGTTCAAATGCAGCCAGTGTACTCCACAGCCCTTTCCAGAAGGCTGGGAAGCGTCAGAGACTTGGCTCTCACAGCACCTCCAGTGTCCCCAAAGTCGGTAATGGGAGTGCCCCGTCCCTCCAGCTGGCTGCTGCTTCACTCAGACACCTCCCCTCCTCGCCCCTTGTCCCCCCTTGTCCTCTTCCTTCTCCCTCAGCATCTTCATTCTCCTCTCTCATGAAGCCTGCTCTCTCTGCCCTTCTTCTTATCGTGTCTTTATTATTTTGTGTATCTCCTAGCAAAAAACATCCCTCATATTTTAATATTTTCCCCTTTTGATTTTTCCAACTGTCTCTTGTCTCCTTTTCCTTGACGGGTTTCCATTACTCCTTTTCTCTCTCCTCTCCTTTTCTTGCCTATTGTTAATGTTTCTCTTCATTCCTCTACTTTTAAATACATAATTTAAAAAACCTTTTATTTTTATTTTTTCAAGATGTGGTCTTTCTCTGTCACCTAGGCTGGATGCAGTGGCAGGATTATAGTTCACTGCATTCTTTAACTCCTGGGCTTAAGTAAGCCTCCCGCTTCAGCCTCCCAAAGGTTATAGGCATGAGCCACCACACCTGGCCTCCTCTCCTTTCCAATCCCTTGCTCTCTTTCTTTAGCACCTCACGTACACCTGCCCTGTTCCTCAGTGAGGGTCGGATTCTTGTTGAGCTCCTAGGCACTTGACAACATAGAGATCCCTCAGTTACACCCCAGAGGTGACACTGAGAATGGTATCCAATCAATGTTACTTTTCTCTAAAAAATATGAATTTATTGTTTCTTCTTTTCTTAAAATATTCCCTAATTGTTAATTATTTTGTGTGTTTAAAAATGTTGTGATACAAAGTAAGCTTAAAGAGAAAAGATCATACAGACATATCATGACAATCTTCACTTAAAATCAAGGAATAAGTGAACAGGTTCTTGTCAAAAAGTGAAACACTACACATCAAGCTAGAATCTCTCTTTGACTACAATCCTTACCTAATCCTAACCTCTCTAGAGGGTCCACTGTTATCGTACTCTGTATCCTTTGGTATTATACATGTACTTATTTCTTATAGTTTTGTCTGCCCACCTTTGATGTGACCAAGCTCTACTTGAGGGGTAAAAAGCTGTATCAGTTTTAATTTAAATTTCTCTATTAGTGACATGAAGCAATCTTTATGTTTATTGAATTTTCTTTTCTGAGCATTGCTACTTATTTTATCTTTTTCTTTTCTTTTTTCTTATCGATCTGTGGGTATTGTTTACATTTTTGGATATAAATAGGTTTTCCAGTATCTATGTATTTTATAATACATATTACATATATATGGTAAGATTAAATATAACATACAATACATATTTTATGCATTCTTTATGCCTTATTTAAGACCATTCCTACTGCAAGGTCATAAGATATTCTCCTGTTTCTCCATTTACTTCTTTAATCTGCCACGAATTTATTTTTTGTGTGGGATGAGGCAGGGATTTTTTTTTTCCCCCTAAAACAAGCAGGCAAGTGTCCCAAGCCATTTATTGAATAGTTTTTCTTTTCTCACCAATTTTGAATTCTATTGTTTAAATTAGATTATAAATTTTCTGGACTAATTCTGTTCTATTGCATATGATTATGGCTTTATCAATACCAGGCTCTTTTAGTGAATGTATCTTTATATCATATTTTAATAACTGATAAGTCCAAGACCTTTTTGGCTATTTGTTAACAAATACTTTTGACACACCTACAATGTGCTGTGTGCACTGTGGGCTCTCACTTGTGAATTTCCATGCAAATTCCATGGGGATCACTTCAACCTTGCAAGTACTTATGATAATGAGGCTATTGTCTCAGAAAGATGAAAATTCTAAAGGCAGAAAAACATATCCCACACAGATTCTTTTCTACTCCAGATATCAGCAGTTGGACTTTTTTCATTCTTTCTAGTGAGGCAGTTTTGCTAGTTGCTTGTATTTCATTCCAGAAATTTTTGTTTATGGATATATGAATATATGTATATATACACTTTTTAAAAACAAATATATATGTAAAGTGTAATAGTGCATAAAATCACATGATATAAGCTATATGTTGTAGTATAATTTATCATTATGTAACTTGTAAAATAATTAACCTAATAATATGTAACACACAATTGTGATATACAAGTATATAGTATGTGGTATAGCATATAAATGTATGCATGTATGTGTACACACATATGTAGTATATATGCAGTTATACTATACACACTCTTCTGTAGCTTGTCTTTTTCACTGAAAAATATAATTTGGAGAGAATTCCACACAATATATTCCTTCACTATTCATTCAGCCTTTTCTCTATTGGTAAATATTTAGGTTGTTTGTAATCTTTTTTCTACTATAAATGAATCTACACCAGATCATCTTGTCCATTTCACATATGTGCAAATATATATGTGAAATGAATTCCTCGAAGTATAGAGGAATCCATCTATACTAGTATAATAGAACTGCACAAAGGTATCTTTTGTGTTTAAAAGGGTCTTTGCCCTCCAAATACTCCTTTTTCTATAGCATCTTTTTCTTGTTTTATGTTTATAGAATCTTCTTTATCTCATTCATGTTGATGATAAATTTTTAAAAATGTTTCTGTTTTCCTGAAGATCCTTTTTTTCACACACATTGCTTTGTTGGTTTTCCTTTCATTCTTTGAGTATGGAAACTTCCTTTGGATATCTGCTGACCCTCGGTTGTCTGTTCATATATACATATACATATACATATACATATATATATATTTTTTTTTGAGACAGAGTCTCACTTTGTCACCCTCAGTAGAGTGCTGTAGTGTCATAGCTCACAGCAACCTCGAACTTTTGGGCTCAAGTGATTCTCTTTCCTCCCAAGTAACTGGGACTACAGATCCCTGCCACAATGTCCTGCTATTTTTAGAGCCAAGGTCTGGCTCTGGTTCAGGCTGGTTTCAAACTGAGAAGTTCAGGCAATCCACCAGCCTCAGCCTCCCAGAGTGCTAGGATTAGGTGTGCGCCGCCTTGCTGGCCTCTCCTCCCCACTTGTTTCTTTTGTCTTGATATCTCAAAAAGCGTTTCTTATCACCTCCACAATCTGAAGACACTCTTCCAAGGAGGTCCACAGTGTCTCCAGGCAGCTTCACTACTATGCTCTTTAGCATATTTAGTAACTGTTTGCTTAAAGCTTACAGTGTATAATTGTTTCCACATTTTCCAAGTGATTGTACAATAATTTTTTAAGAAATATCATCTAGATCGCTAGCTCTGGCCTACAGTGTATGAAGAAAAATAGGTTGGTCTTCATTAACCTACAATGCAAGTTCATGTTAAGTCCAAGGAAACCGATTACCATATTCCAGGGTATTATTTTGCATACGGATATCTTTATTGCTTTCTAGAGTTACACTTTTAATGCATAAACATAAATAAAAGAATTAAAAACATTCACATAGTTATGGAATTAGTACTACCCATGTGTAATGTGCATCCTTACTTGTACGTCAAAAATTGGGGGGGAAAGGTGTGCATCATACACAACAAACTGTGGGTAACATTCAAAAAGGGTGACTCCGGGTGGGGCAAGTTGCACCATCCTCAACACCTGGCATTAAATGTCAACCTTCTGCTTCCAGACCACAGCCCTCTGCACCCCCTTCCTGATAGGCACCATGGCCTGGTCGGGGAACCAGACGCTCATCTCCCACTTCGTGCTCCTGGGGCTCTTTGCCCACTCGCCGCCGCATCTGCTCATCTTCTCCACCCTCATGGTCATGTTCGCGGCGGCTCTCTGTGGCAACGGGCTCCTGGTGCTGCTCATCAGCATGGACGCACGCCTGCACAGCCCTATGTACTTCTTCCTCTGCTGGCTGTCGCTCACCGACCTCCTGCTCGCCTGCACCGTGGCGCCGCGCATGGCCGTAGACGTCCTTCGGGGCGGGGGCACCATCTCCTTCACTGGCTGTGGGCTCCAGATCCTCTTCTTCCTGACGCTGCTGGGGGACGAGTGTTTCCTGCTGGCCTTCATGGCCTACGACCGCTACGTGGCCGTCAGCGACCCCCTGCGGTACTCGGCGGTCATGAGCCGCCGCGTGTGCTGGCTCATGGTTGTGGGGTCCTGGCTCTTCGGCCTGGTGGATGGGCTGATCCAGGCCATCTTCACCCTCCTCTTCCCCTACTGTGGCCCGCAGGAGATCGACCACTTCTTCTGTGAGGTCCCCGCCGTGCTCAAGTTGGCTTGCGCAGACACATCGCTGTATGAAACCATGATTTATGTGTGCTGCGTGCTAATGCTGCTGCTGCCCTTTTCTGCCATCTCCGCCTCCTACCTACGCATCCTGGCCGCCGTGCTGAGCATGCGCTCGGCACAGGGCCGACAGAAGGCCTTTGCCACCTGCTCCTCGCACATGCTAGTGGTCTCGCTCTTCTACGGCGCTGCCATGGTTACCTACATGCGACCCCAGGCCTACCACTCTGCCCAGCAGGACAAAATGGTCTCGGCCTTCTACACCATGGTCACCCCAATGCTCAACCCTCTCATCTACAGTCTGAGGAACAAGGTAGTGGCGGGAGCTCTGAGGAAGCTCCTGAGCAGGTGTTCCTGTGGCAGAGGATCGGGCTAGGCTTGTGCCTGTGCCTGAAGATATATATGGGCACTGCAGTCTGGGAACCTGGATCAGTCAACCATAATTTGGAGGACAAACAAATGAGTCCTACCAAAAATAATAAAAGCTCTCTAGTCAGACTGACACCTCAGTTTAATTCATCATGTTCATGCAGAGTGTGGGCTATGCAGAAGGGAGGCTGAGACTACAGGGTTGCAAGGAGCCTTCATTCCACAGCCATAGGGAGAGTTGTGGGTGACAGCTCTCTTAGGAATTGCCCGTGTGTGGGGAGAGCCATTTTGCTCAGGGCCATACCCTTTTCTTGTAGGGAAGGTGGAAACCCTTGAATCCCAGGACTAATCGATGAAGTGTATAAAGGCCTAGCTGCCTTGCCTCAGTTTGACTCTGAGGGCCATCCTAGCTTCCAGAACTCTTATTAGGCTCATCTGAGACATCATAGGCAGCTCTCCCTGTGTCTAATTTTGATTCAGCCCCCCCCCAAGATTTCGATCCTGAGAGCACTTTCCAAAACCTCCTGCAGAGAAAGCCTGTCTCAAAAGAGAGAGAGAGAGAGAGAGAGAGAGAGAGAGAGCAAGCTTGTCTTAATCTGCTTCCAGAAAACCTAACCTGGGAAAAAATTCAGGAATAATGCTAAATTGGAGTTTGCTACATATGGCCACATATGTGCATTCAATGTATGATATTAGCACACCACACAAAGAGCTCCATTGCTTTGTTGTCAGGGACAGATCAGAAATGGCATCATGAGAGATATCTACAAAAGGCTTAAGACAAGATTGCAAATGGAGATGCAGGTCCAGAGAGGCGGTGTCAGTGAGAGGCTGTTGGGTGGAGACACATACTCCTTAGCTAAAGCTTTGATGTTGAGAAGGAGATTAGGTAAAAGTTGGCTATACATCTCTCTCTCACCTTTCTCCTTCATGAGATGAACTCACTTCCCATTCTCTTTGGAAGTGCTCTAAACTTTCTCTTTATTTTTCCTAAATAAAATCTGTCTTTGTTATACTGGAAAAAAAGGTGGCTATAGGCTGGGGGAGCAACCATGAATGGGCCTCATGGCGGGGGTGGGGGTAGGGGTGGGGTTCCCAGCAGAGCAAAGGAGAGAGGGGGAAGTGTGCACCAAGGATGCCAAACAGCAGAGGAAAGCCTCACACTGTGTGCTTAACCTCTTAACCTCATGATGTCCCTGAGATGCGCTCTCCAACCTCCATCTCTGTGAGGACTCCAGAGGCAGCTCTGGGAAACCTACTTTTTGGAGTTCAGTATCCTGAGAGCTTTGTGTTCTGAAAGCTTTGTGGTGCTGTGATTTTTATCTGTCTTTCTGCTGAACCTTGGCCAGGATGGGAAGTACTGAGTTGTGAAGAGAGCTGATCAGAGAGGACGCTTTGCAGTTGAAGGACTGTTGTGCTTAAGCTCTTGTGTGCCCCTCCAGTCCTGTAGCTCAGCTGTGGAGTAGGGGAGCTGGTAGTTTCTTTAATGGAGGAAGAAACATATGGGAGGAGTTAGGTGGGATCTAGCAAAAATCTTTTCACTACTCCTGACTTTTCTATATTTCCACTTGAGGAAGCTTAAAAACAAAATAAAAAGATGGACCAAGATAAAACTTTGATAGGATTATTCATTCTTAGCAAAATCTGAAGTGTGAGGATAATCTGATAATTTTCTCCTATAGGAAGGTCTGACAATTAAGTAAGGTGACCTTGCCACCATGTGCTAATATTGGCAGCTCTGTGAGAAAAACCAACTCAGTTAGGCTTCATAACCTTGGTATATCAGTGTGTCACAGCTGTGTTTGTGTCCCCGCATGGCGATGTCTTGCTGAGTAGTGTTCATTATTGTTTTTGCACATTTTTGTCTGCAATCATGAGAATGTGGGAGGTTGACTTAGAACAACAACAACAACAAAACCTCCATTAAATTTCTTGCTAAACCTTTCAAGAGTGGAAGTGAAATCAGGAACATGTTAGTTCAAGTTCATAGGAATAATGCCATGAAGAAAATGGCAATGTACTAACCCCTGTGAGAATAGCTCACCTCACAAAGTCCCAAAGCTGCAGATGCTGGCATGGGTGTGGAGAGAAGCAAACACCTCTACACTGTTGGTGGTATTACAAACTAGCACTGCCTTTTTGGAAAGAAGTATGGAGAATCCTCAAAGAGCTAAAAGCAGACCATCCATTTGATCCTGAAATCTCATTACTAGGTTGCTTTCTTAGTAGCTATTTTCCAGAAAAAAAAAAAACACATCATTTTATCAGAAAGACATTTGCACATGGATATTTATAGCAGCTGAATTCACAATCACAAAGATGAGGAAACAGCCCAAGTGCCCATCAACCCATGGATTAATAAACTGTGGCATATATATATATATACACTATGGTATACTATTCAGACTTAAAAAGATAGAGACTTTATATCTTTTGTATTTACTTAGATGGAGTTGAAGAATATTCTCCTTAGTAAAGTATCTCAAGAATGAAAAAGCAAGCACCCCATGTCCTCAGTACTAATTGAAACTAGCAGACAAATAACTACAGCCCCAAATAAGAGAAAAACAGAATTAAATTCAAAAAGAGGGAAAGGAAGAAGGGGGAAGGGGATTAGGTAAACTCCCACCTAATGGGTGCAATATAGGGGTATATGACACATCTCCTAGGTGAAGAACTCAACTACAACTGGGATGCTACCTAATAAATGCAAACAATGTAACATAATTGTATATACCCTTGTATTAATCTGAAATTTTAAAAAAGATGAGAAAAAGAAGATGGCAGGTGTCACTGATGAAGAGAGGCTAGAGCAGCCAGTAATGAGCAGAACTGATGAAAACATTGCAAAACTTCATTGAAATGTGCATCAAAATTGTTAGTTGACTGTGAGAAGCATAGCTGACCAAGTAAATATTGATAGAGAAATAGGAAAATCTTGACTAAAAGTCTTGGCCAACAACTCATGGCTCTTAGATCATGACAATGCACCAGCTCACACAGCCCTGTCTGTGAGGGAGTTTTTAGCCAGCAAATGAATAACTGTATTGGAACACCTTCCCTAGTTACCTGACCTCTACCCCAATGACTTTTTTCTTTACCTGAAGATAAAGGAAATATCGAAAGGAAGACATTTTGATGACATTCAGGCCATTAAGTGTAAAATGACAACAACTTTGATGGCCATCCCAGAAAAAGAGTTCCCAAATTGCTTTGAAGGGTGGACGAGGTGTTGGCTTTGGTGCACAGCTTCCCGGGGGAGTTCTTTGAGGGTGACCGTGGTAATATTCAGCAATGAGTTATGTAGCATGGTTTCAAGGCAGTTCATGAACTTAATTGTCAGACCTGATATTTGACAGAGACAAATTTTATGGGTATGAACTTCATATCAAGCTTATATACATTATAGTTGTCCCCCCTTATTAAGGGGGACACATTCCAAGACCCTTACTGGATGCCTGAAACTGCAGGTAGTATTGACCCTGATATAAATACTATATTCTTGGTGGCACCTGTGTCTCAAAGGAGTAGGGCACCAGCCCCATATGCCAGAGGTGGCAGGTTCAAACCCAGCCCTGGCCAAAAACTGCAAAAAAACAAAAACAAACAAACAAAAAAACCCCAAAACTATATTCTTCCTATACTTACATACTTAATGATAAATGTTCACCTTTTCACTTAAAGGAGGCACATTATGGCTTCTCTTTGGTAGATTTGAATTGACAGCATTACTACTTTTGCACTTTAGGGTCATTATTACAACATAGAGCTACTTGAACACAAGTACTGTGGTACTGTGACAATTGATCTGATGACTGAGACAACTACCTGGTGACTAGCAGGAAGGGAGCAGAGACAGTGTGGTGCCCTGGTACCCTGGACAAAAGACTGATGTGTGCTGTTCAGAACACACACAGTTTACAATTTAAGACTTTTCCCTTCAATATTTTCAGACTGTGGCTGACTGCAGGTAACTGAAGCAGCAGAAAGCCAAATGGTGATTAAGGGAGGCTACTTGCATCTTCTTAGCTGTTTTCTAGAGCATTAGTGGGTGCTTCTATGAAGCTAGGATTATGAGGTACAGGAAGATGTAACATGGAGGGGATATAAGCTACAGGATCCCCAAGTGTGTGTACAGTAGGCTCCCAGGGGGCTTGGAGAGGGCTGCAATTCAGGCTGGTCAGCACGACACAGTTCCAGGTTCACCCTGCACTTGAAAATCCAAGAGAGTTTTGCTTAAGAACCTATCCAAATGAGCCTGCTTGTGCTGGTGTATCTCTCATCACTCAACACTGCATTTGGAATGGGCCTCTCTTAGTTAATCAGAAGTGGCCCTCTTAGACATAGCATCACTGCAGTCACATCCTATACCAGAGTGGTGCTTCTGCAAGACCTTGACAATTAAGGTTTGTGTTTTGCATAGAAAACCACATTTAATTGTGAATATATTTAGATATTTCTCAGCCCTGTGCCAAAAGGGTTCTTTCCATCGTGGCTTCAGTGATATGGAGGGAGCATTGGGTGAAGCTGAGTTCCTTCCCTTTGCATCTCTCACTGTCCTGAATGTCTCTGGGCCACAGCCAACCTAGACAGAGAGGAATCCAGGGAGATATCCAGGGGATGGTGGCAACCAGTCTTGATGTTTGGCCCTGGTAGAGAGGGAAGAGTACAAATGCCCAGAGCTGGAGTGGGGTGAGGTGGATGAGGATTTTTTGAAAGACAGGACATGTGACTTTGGGTCAGGATGGTGCAATGTGCTCATGATTATAATCCTCTCCCCTCAACACATATGGAGACAATGGCTAATATGTAAACAGAGAAATCCAGGAAGACACAGCTTTCAAATATAAGGCCAGAAAATGTGTGGGATAGAGACAGCAGAGAATGTCAAACAGTGAGCAGGGCTGGAGTCCTGCTCACTGGGCTTGTGGAGGCCTGGGATGGCCATGTCCAGATTGGGCAAAGGTTTGGTTCCTGCAGGACAGAGGGAACCAATGGTTCCAGGAA